TCTCTAGGCCAAGGTCGCACCACTCCACTCAAAGTAACCTCAAAGTAATGGAGAGATAAAATACTTACTAGCAAGCAACATGATGATTTGTTTTAACAAAACAAACAAACAAATAAAGCATTTGATTTATTTAAATTTTGCTGAAGGCTAAAAGTCAGTTAGTAATAGAACCATATGCTTTGGAACTATATTTGAGAATGAAGAACTAAACACTTTATTTACATGTGTAATTGTTGCCTACATATTTCAGGATAGTAGTTATATTGCTACCTAATTGATTTTGGTGAATTCTGATATTCTAGCCTGAAGAAAATAAATATATGAATGTAACATATTAGGTACCGAGCATTAATAAATGATGTTATATTGCTGATCTGTCAGTTTGAAATTCTTTACTTAAACAACAATTTAGGAAAGAACAGTTAGAAAATGGAGGTGACCATAGGAGAAGAAAACCAAAGCCACTCTATTCCTGATTTATAAAACTTGTTTCAAACTTCATGTTAATTCTTAATATGGTTTGGTTTAGGATTAGTGTCTTATGTGAACCAAAACTATGGTTCATGATTTGAACATGCTGTGTAGCATATTCAATAAGCCAGAAACAGGGATCAGTTGGGATCAGGGTGGGCATCAGCCGGTTTGCGCCAGTTTGGCCGAACCGGATGTTAATTCTATATCTGGTTCGGCAAACCAGTAGTTCTGACAACTGGCTGGCCCCGCCCACCCCACCCCTCCCAGGAGTCCCCACATGACCCATTTTGGATCGCAGGTAGGTGCAGGACCCATGCGGAGGCTCTGGGAGGGTGAAAAATTGGCCTCCCAGTGGCTCTGGAAAGCTGGAAATGGACCCATTTCTGGCCTTCAGAGAGCCTCCAGAGCCCGGGGAAGGTAAAAAACAGGGTCCCTGTGGCCCGTTTTCACTCCCAGGGTGGTGCAGGAGGCCAAGTAAACCATGCCCACCATGGCCACGCCCACCCAGCAACCAGGCAGAGAACCGGTTGTTAAATTATTTGAAGCCCACCCCCTTGCTATTGTAGTTGCCTTGTTGTGTAGCAACCTCCCTGCATGTGCTCCTTGACTCCATAAACGAATTGGTGTTGGAGTTTCTTAGGCGTATGGTTCTGGGAGACTTCAATCTGACTTCCATAGAAGTTAGGTAAGAGACAGTTCAGAAATTCATGACTACCATAACAGGCATGGGCCTGTTCCAGTTCATCCAGGGTCCAACAAGCATCAATGATTTAATGCCAGGTCTATTTTTTTCTGTCAGAGCAATGGCAATATGATTTGGAACTGGTGGAGTTATCTGTTGCTTTCCTGTGATGATCATCTCTCTCTGGAATATCATACTTCCAGAGGTCAGGTTAGCCCAGACTCTACCTGCCTTCTTCAAGGTTTTAAAAACTTGGCTGTGCTACTGAACATGGGGATCTAGAGGTATATTGTGCAGTGGTAATGCTGAATATGTTTTTAGATCCTGGCTGGATTTTGTTAATTTAATTATATTGGTTTTATATATTTTTAAACTATGGTTTAATTGTGATTTTTTTGTAGTTTTAAAATTGTTGTAAGACACCCAGAGTTATACAGTTGAAATGGGCTGCTATTTAAATCAATGAAATAATTTAATAGGTGTGTTTCAGTGGTGGGATTCAAATGTTTTTACTACCGGTTCTGTGGGCGTGGCTTGGTGGGTGTGGCAGGCGAAGGATACTGTAAAATCTCCAGTCAGAGGTGGTATTTGCCGGTTCTCCAAACTACTCAAAATTTCCGCTACCGGTTCTCCAGAACTTGTCAGAACCTGCTGAATACCACCTCTGGTGCGTTTCTATGCAGAAACGTAGCTTTTGTAACTTATATGATGACAACTCAAAACTGAAACTGCTACAATGTGTTCTTCATGGATCAACTCTTGAATGTAGTTTTAAAAATGCAGCTAAGCCATAATGTGATGATTTGGGTGATGAATACAAGTAGTCTTCTGTTTATAACCATTCGTTTAATAGTTTTAAAAAATATTTTTTTAAAAGGTTGTAAAATAGGGCAAAACTCACTTAACAACTACCTTGCTTAGCAATGGAAATATGAGGCTCAGTTCTGGTTGTAAATCAAAGAGTTTAATTGCTGTATTGGCAGCTAGCTTCTCTGGTTATCAATAATATTCCAGTTCAGGTTGCTCATCTATGTGTTATAAGGCCTTGCATGGGTTAATGCCTCACACAGCCCAAATGATGTTGTGCAGAAATGCCATTTGAAGTGGAAATTGAAGCAAATACTTAAGAGTAAGTCCCTGCCCCTCTCATTCTGATAAACACACCTTCTCCAGCAAGCAGTTCATAGTCTCTGGCCTGGCGTACTATGGACTCTTAATCCACGCCTTATTCATCTTCAGTGCAGAAAAAGCCGTAAGGAGAGAAAGTGCTTGACTTAGAGTTACGAAAACCAGATCTAAACTGTACATCACCACTTGGCAGTATATCTTATACCATCTCTTAAATATTTTTGTAGTAGGTTTCCTGCTCTTTGTAGAAGGGCCTTCACACTAGAAAGATGTTCTATCCTACTCTCAATGGTCATGGAAGGGAATTTTAATTATATCCCTTACCAGGAGCATGTATATGTGTGCTTAGAAATAGACAGTTGCACATGGTTTACTGAGTTGTCTTTTACAACATGCCTGGTGTGCATATGAATTTCTCTCCATATTAGCAAATGCTTGGGCTGATCCTAATCAGAGATTTTAAGTTGTTTTTTTAATTAAAGAATTCAATTAATGAAATTTCTGGGAAAAGGTTTAAAAAAAATGTGCCATCCCATTTGCTAAGAGAAAGCATTGAGTCTAAGCAATGCACAGACAAAAATGAAATTTGGTGGTTTATAAACTTTGCCTTTAATGATATTTGTCCATGTTAAATTTACTTCAGGTACACCATTCTAATTTTTATCTAAAGATAAATCTATGACTGCAAACAAACAACCAGGGGTGGAATTCTACTGGTTCAGACCAATTCTATAGAACTGGTTGTTATGATTCTGTGCTGTTCAGAGAACTGGCAAATCGTGCCCCTGGCTGGCCCCGCCCCTCTCTGCCCACCCCTCCCCTCCCTGCCCAGGCAGTCCTTATCATGCATGCGCAACATCACGCGCATGCCCAACATCGCTGACTATGTTCTTCCCCACCCAGTCACTCCTTAAGGTATTTTCCCCCTCCCAACGATCAGCTGTGCCGGGATTCCCCTAGCTGTCTTACTGCTTCACCCAGGAGGCTTCCTTGAGGCCCAGGAAGGCAAGAAATGGAGGCGGGCGTAGCACACACACACCGTGCTCCATTTTTTTGCCTTCCTGGGCCCCAGGGAAGCCTTCTGGGAGCAAAAATCCCCCCCCCAGGAGGCTTCCCTAAGGCCCAGAAGGTCCCAAAATGGAGCGTGGGAGCGGGGTTCTGTGCGGCTCCTCCAGGCTCCGTTTTTTTCCTTCCTGGGCCCCAGGAAAGCCTTGTGGGAGCAAAAACGCCACTCGCCCAGAGGCTTCCCTGAGTCCCAGAAGGCCCAAAAAAACGGGGGGGGGGGGGGGTTGCTGCAAAAAATAAGAAGCCATGCCCACCCAGTCAAATGGCCACGGCCACCTAGCCACGGCCACAGAACTGGTTGTTTAAAAAATTTGAATCCCACCCCTGCAAGCAACCATCTACTCCCACACAGAAGGCGTTTGGAAAGTAAAATTTCCTTTTTTTAAAATAAACTATTAGCTTATTATGGAAAGTCTATTTTAATGATGACTGGAGTACTGGAGAGTTTACTTATGTAGCTTTCTGGATTATGTTTCAACTTTGATTTTTGTGTGTGTGTGTGTGACATAAAACCTTTGTTGGAATTTCTGCTTCTGTATATTTTGGATCTTCTCAGAGCAGGAGCCTACGGTCAGCATTGCAAATCTATTCATGTGTGTGGTTTTCCTTAAGTGAGGGAAAAGACACATGATCCATCCAATGCACTTTAATCTCATTTAAGTACCCAACACTGCTGATCAAAGCATGTTTATTCAGGAAGAAGGATTACAATTTGCCAACTGTGTTTGTAATTTACTTGTTCTTTGTTCCTTAATATAAGGTACATCAACACTTTTATTTGTTGAATTATAAATAGGCTTCTGCATATGATTCCATTTCCTAGGCAATGATCAAATATATTTACGTACAAAAGTAATGAGATTTCATGTTGCCAAATGTTTACAATGGAAAGAGGAAGAAGAGCAATAAAGGAACACACACTATTGCAATTGTATACTATGCATGTTGCACAAATTAGACAACGAATGTGCTAAAACTCCTGAAATGTATTCAGAGGAATGGGACCAATAACATTGATGTATATTTTTGACACCTACTTGAATGTGGTAAAAGAATCCACTGTTAATGCTAATTGTCGATGCAGATCCTAAAAACCACAAGTGCTTAAATATTTATATTATAACATGATGGTTTTACTATTACTCTGTGGGGCAGATTCAGAATTATTTAGAGTTGAAATCACTCTCTGATTTGTAATTAAATCTGCATCCATTGTATTAACCGGATAAATACTTCATATACAGTATGTTTAGCTGCAATACAATATGTATTTAATCTTCTGAGCCCAGATAGATGGCAGTGGTGATATTGAAAAGGTGAGATTAATATTTAAATAAGAAAACCTCTGGGAATTCCTGGTCTATAAGTTAAAATTCTATATTGTTATCAAGAAAACTATATAGATGTATTGTATCTATGAAGTCACCAAGGGCTTAGTTTTTAAATTCATATTTCACACAAGTAAAGCATTGGATTGCATTGTGAGTAGCACATTTCTGAATCCCACAGCTCTGACAGTATAATTCAGAATGTACTTTTAAAGAAAAGCCACTGGAATATGTGAAAAAATATGACAGAGCATCAAAATTGTTTTATTAATGAGCTATTGCTTAATTAATATGTTAGCATACTGAGAGTATAATTCACATAAGAGATTTCTGTTATTAACACACTTTATCATGGCCTTAAATATTTGTCTGTCCATCCATCAATCTATCCATCCATTTATCCAGTTGTAATTTTCATTAATACTGTGACATTTGTTTTAGAAAAGAAGATTCTGGCTATCACATACATTATATTCAGCCTTAAGTAGTGCTCTTTTAAATTAACTATCATTAATGAAAATATCTTAGGATGACCAGCCTAATAGCTTGCTAATACATTCATACTTAATAACTGGTGTGAACATTATTCACCTATGCTATGAGACATATTTAATATTTATAACTATAATAATTTCCCAGTAATTATAGCCATACATCAGGAATTCAAGCGTGTAATGTCCATTGTCTGACCTGCCAATGTAAGAATTGAAATTAAACCTTTTCTATTGGATTTTCTCCTTGACAATCCTCATTCAGTTCTTTGTCTTGGTGGATTAGTTCTACTCCTTGTTCTTGCTTATCTGTCAGATGTTCAACTTTCAGTTTGTTATCTTTCAGTCTTTTTTTATACATTTTCTTATGTTGTCCCTGTGTGATTATAAATGATAAATGATTGTAGTTAAAAATAGCTTCATTTTCTTAAAACAAAAAGATGGGATTTTCAACTATTTTTGCAGATTTTACAGAAGTTAACTACTTGATTATTTTAATTCGATTGACTTGATTATTTTAATACAAATTCTATTACAACTATAACAGCTGCAAGATTTGACAATATTGGTCCTTTTCTGGTTGCCTTTCTGATTGTTGAGACAGTGTCCCAATGCTCTTTAATTTATTTTAGTTGAACTACAATTCAACTGAATGTATTGGCATTCACAGGTATGGAAATTACTTACATTGTCTCTGCTTTCTTGCAAAAGTTCCTTGACTCAGGAATGTGTGCTTCAGAAATGTTTTGAGATTTTGGATTAATGTAAAGCAGAGAAAGCATTGCAACTTCAAATTTATTCCCTTCAAGCTATTTGTTGCATGAAGATAAAAGTCTTTAAATCCTTTTGAAAAAAAGTGCCTTCCCATGCTTCCAACATCTAAGAATTGCTTTTGTTGATCTTAAAGCAGACCAGGATTTTAGGAATTACTTGGGTACATAAAATCTGACCTTAGAGGGATGGGAAAAGCAAGTAGATTGCATAATTTTAGTGCTAGTAGTATTTTATTTTAGATAATTTTAGTGGTATGTTATTTTGAAAGAAAAAAAGACAAATAATATTTGATATAAAAACATTGATTAGTCCTTTTCTGGTTGCCTTTCTGATTGTTGAGACAGTGTCCCAATGCTCTTTAATTTATTTTAGTTGAACTACAATTCAACTGAATGTATTGGTATTCACAGGTATGGAAATTACTTACATTGTCTCTGCTTTCTTGCAAAAGTTCCTTGACTCAGGAATGTGTGCTTCAGAAATGTTTTGAGATTTTGGATTAATGATCGGTCTGATTTAAGCATGGTATATAAAATCATACATTGCAATGTCCTACCTGTCAATGAATACTTCAGCTTCAACCATAACAACACAAGAGCACACAATAGATACAAACTCAAAGTTAACCGCACCAAACTTGATTGCAGGAAATACGACTTCAGCAATAGAATGGTCAATGTCTGGAATACTCTACCCGACTCTGTAGTTTCTTCCCCAAACCCCAAAAACTTTAACCTTAGACTGTCTACTATTGACCTCACCCCTTTCCTAAGAGGTCTGTAGGGGGCGTGCATAAGCGCACCAACGTAACTACCGTCCCTGTCCTATTGTTTCTCTTATTCTTCTTTTATTTTTCTTATATGTACCCATTTCATGTATTCACAACTATGTATACACTTATACTTATTATCTTGTAAACAATTGGCAAATCAAATAAATAAATAAAATAAATAAATAAATAGTTTTCTATTCTAAAACTTGGGTCCCATACTCTTAAGCTTATTGAAACGTATGTGTGTGCAAATTTCTATGTATGGAGCTTCACGTGACCAGTCAGTGGATTCATTCCAAATCTTGACATCATGCCCATCAGTTTGACCTGATTTGAAATGTTTCCTTAATGAGAGGCTCAAAAGGATCAATCATTACCTATGAATTGCCAAAACACTGTGAAGCAACAATTATTTTCATATGCATACAATACAAAATATGGCCAATACAAGGTTTCTTTGGTCATTGGTCCTATGTAATTGAAATGTCTTTTCTTTTTTTCTCATTTGGTGCTTTATTTCTTTTCTCCTATGGTGTTTTTATTCCTGCTTTAGAAATCATCCACCCCATCTTCTCTTTTAGCAGGAATGTCTGTCTCATTTTCATTTCATTCCCCACAAAGTTTCCACTTTGCCAGCATTTAACCAGAAAACATAAAAAGATCCTTTATAGATTGTAGAAAGGAGAAGACAGAGAAGATGTGCAGCCCAAAAGATCAAGCAGGTGGAAGAACCATTTGCCAGTTGAAGGGCAAGGGAGGCCCCAGGAAGGCCTGATTCTAATCTGAAGGGGCGGAATCAAGAACATGCATGTTGCCTTGACCTTTGGAGGAAGATACAAACTTAAAAAATAAGAATCTACAAATGAGACAAATTTGTGCCTATGTATTATATGTATGTGTCTGTGTGTGTATATGAAAGTAAGCATCTGCTAGGTAACTGTTACATTTTTTTTTCTTATTAAAATAAAATAGGTAGTTGAAATATTCACTTTCACAGTGGGTCTATCAATGCTGCAGACAGGAAAAATTAATCCAGGTATTCCTTGGATCCCACAGCACAAAGATGATCGGTGATTTCCCCCAGATCCAAACATCCCATTATTCAGAGATTAAGGGCCTCCCCAAGAAATCCATTCCAAATCCAAACCCATTTCTGGTTGCATGCTTGTACATTGAATTCTCTTAGCTAAATTTTTCACAATGCCATTACACTGATATTTAATAGTAATTAAACCAAAATACCGGTAGAGTCACAGATTAATTTTATTTCATCTTAGCAGCTTTCTATATCCCACATACTCATAATTTAATATATGTTTCATAACATCTTCTAAATCCATCTCTTATAAACAAAGTGTGTTGCCATTACAATCCATTAAACTACCTGAACTAAGCACGGGTTAGCAAATGTTATTCAAGTTGTTAATAGCAGATATTGAAATTTAATAAATAATATATAAGATAGGATACTTCAGTTCTATTTTGGCTTTGACAGCCCACGGTTTTCCACGCTTACTGGAACAACTATGGAATTTTCCAGCTTTTCATTAGCACAAGTTTGTTCTGCCCTAAAAACTGCAAGAGATACAGCTTAGCAACAGAAGACCTAGAGATACAGACTAACAGAAATGCGTGGTATGTATATAATTAACAGCAGTAATTACCTTTTGAATCTGCAACTCACGCAGGCTTGGAGGATATCTTGTAATACTGCTCATGTAGTTTTTAGTCTTTCGCCAATCTTCACTCCATTTCTGAATACTGTACCGAGATTTACACTTTGCAATTCTTTCCAGAATGGCACAATTTTCTTGGTTTATTCTGAACAATTCTCGCTCTTGTTTTTCTCTGTTTAAACTAAAAGGGGGGGAGGAAGAGCTCTGTGCAATAAATTAATCATTCAAGCATTAAAAGTTAAAAGCATTCTGTCCCATCTCCAAAATGCTAAATGAAAATAAGTTCTTACTGCTCTATAATAAGCCCCTTCAGTTAATTGTCAAGAACTTAAAACTGAAATCATGGCTCTCTTTTGTTACTCTCATATTGCTGTAGCTCATGCTACTGCTTATCTTCCACTATGACTGTGGATGATGGAAGTTCTAATGTAAAACATCTAAAATACTGCAAATTGGCAAGGACTGAAAGGTGCATCCCCACAATATTAAATATTAAATCTTTATCTTGGGCTATTGAACAAGCTGCTCAGAAGGAACCTTCCCAGGTTCTAATATAATGAATTTTAATGGATCTAGTTATGTGTATAGCATGAAAGTGTCCCCTTAATTAGGCTGGTAGTTATCACCAAAATAGCTCTTATTTTTACTACCTATTTTTACTTTTTCAAATACTTAAGTGTGCAGAGTTACAAGATCAAATGCATATACATGCATACAGTACATTAAGGTAAAGGTTTCTCCTGTCCACTAATGTCTGACTCTAGGGGGTGGTGCTCATCTCCGTTTCTTAATCGTGGGAGCCAGCGTTGTTTGAAGAGACTTCTATGGTTATGTGGCCAGCATGACTATATACTGAGGCACAAGGAACCCTGTTGCCTTCCCACTGAAGTGATACCTATTTATCGATTTGCATTTGCGTGCTTTTGAAATGCTAAGTGGACGAGAACTGGAGCAGGTAACAGGAGCTCATCCTGTCACGCAGGCTCAGGTCTCAAACCCGGGCTGTCAGCTTTTCAGTGACAAGCTCAGAATCTTTAACTGCTGAGCCATTGCATTCCTATACAATCCATAGCAACCAGCTTTAACAGTAGAATGTTTTCTTGATCAGCACAAATGTATTTCTTGATTTTCCCTTTGTTTAGCTCTCTAATATCCCTAATCTGTAATTATAGTATTGTTACACTTGCAGTAGCAAGTCTCAGTACTTTAGGGGTTAGAATACAGTACACAGAAAGTTATCAGCTTGAAACTTAGCAGAAATATTTTTGGTTTTTTCCCCTGAACTATCCTGTGGGTTTTTTTTTTTGCTGAGCTTTTTTATTAGTCCATTGATCCACCAATAAAAGCTGGAGTTCTCTTTTTTTTTTCCTGTCACCAAATAAATGGAGTAATAAGTTTTCTGCTGTGAAGCACAAGCAACCAAAGCCACTCATGAATAGCTTAAGTCTACTTATATTACAAGACTCTCCAAGATTCTTTGCCTTCCACAGGAATAAGTAGATAAGCTTTCATGGATCCGGGCAGGGGGAGGAGAGGGGAAGCAGGCTTATGCTTCTTGTAGCTGCACAAGGACTCAAGGCTAATTCCCATCTTGACCCCTCCTACCAGACTGGCTGGCAGTTTCTCAACATCTGCAATACTTATTTATGTCAGTTATTTGGAAGATGGGATGAAACCCTTCTTCAGCAAAAATGATGAAATGATGCAAGTTATAGCTTAGGTAAATAAAATATTAATTCTTGTAAGGTGCTTCTGGGCTTCAAACCAATAGTCCTCTACATCTCAAGTAAATGTTACATTAAATGTTACATCCACTAACACAATTCTCACACCATTATAACAATTGATGTAGCAGAAATTAGGAAGTTAAATCTGGGAAAGTGTAAGGTTTGCTCCAGGTAGAATAATATTACAACTATTACAGCTACATAATTGTTCATCATTTTTACTCCAAATCTTACCTTTTGGTTATATATTCATTTTTATTATCTACTCTTCCTTCAGTCTTCATGATGTAAGATATCTTCTTTAGTAACAAATGGTTATCTCGTTCTATTGTAGACAAACGGTCCTTATCAAGCTTCAGGCATTAAAAAAAGAATAGTTTAATAGATCATGTTTATATCCAATTAATATTTTCATCCCCCCACCCCGTCCCCATTAATGCTACGTATACAATGGCACTGAAAAAAGTGACTTATGGCCATTTTTCACACTTATGACCATTGCAGCACCATGATCACGTGATTTACATTCAGATGCTTGGCAATTGACTCACATTTATGATGGTTGCAATATCCCAGAGTCTTATAATTCCCTTTTGTGAACTTCTGACAAGCACAGTGAATGAGGAAACCAGATTCACGTAACAACCATGTTACTAACTTAACAACTGCAGTGATTCACTTAACAAATATGATGAGAAAAGCTGTAAAATGGGGCAAAACTCACAACAAATTTCTCATTTAACAACATAAATTTGGGGCTCAATTGTGGTTGTAAGTTGTGGACTACCTGTGTTCCTTTCTGACTCAGTATGTATATCAATACTATTTCTTTCACGCATGACATATCTATATTTTGCTTGGTGTATTTCACAGAAAAAAACAAATCAAATGGCGCTAGTACTCCTGGATGTGTTTCTTATCAGATTGAACTATTGCAAGGCTGACATTTAAATATAAAAATTTTAAAAAGTCAGAATAAAAAAATATTTTGATTGTAGTTCATAAATATTTATATTATAATAGTGTACCTCATGATCTTTTAAGCCCTCTTGTCTCTGTTTTTTGTATAAATTGCAGCATACCTTAAGTTTTCTTAATTTCAAGTGAAGATGTCCATATGTTGGAGGAGCAGATGTGTCTACCACAGGCTTGGCTCTCAGGATCTGCAGCAGGTTAAAACATTCTTTTGGTGTTTAAATTTCACTTGAAATAATGAATCAATAAGGCTCTTACTTAAGTGGAACCCATTGGCTCTTAGTAAGCAATAATTATTTATCAGCTTTTCTCTGGTGACAGGATTACAGATATCCCTCACTTAATTTAGTGACCAGAGTTACAATAGCACTGAATAAGTGGTGCTTAGGATGGGTTGTTAAACTTCTGGCCATTCCAGCACTCAGTAGTCTTGTGATAATGACCCAAGCACTTATCAACTAGGTTGCACTATCCCATCATCATCACGTCTAGCTTTCCACAAGCAAAGTCAATGGGGAAGGAGGCATGGAAAGTCACAAGTTGCTCCTGTAAGGTGTTCCTGCTGCAACTTCTTCTCCTGACTATGGAGTGCAAGATTCTGGGATTCCATTGTGTGCATCTGTCTGTAGCCCCACCCCCTGTCTTCACCTATCAGCAGCCACCCCTCAACTAGCTGCACTTGTGTGGTACTGCTGCAGCCATTGGCACTGCCACATAATAGCCCCCCTTCCCATTCATGCTTCTGCTGTGCCACTGGCACAATCTCCCACACCCGGCAGTAGTCGCTTCCACCTGGCCATGCTCATACTGCACCACTGCAGCCATTTACCTGCCCATGGCTTGCTTGCAAGTCACCCAGGTCTTGTGACTTGCTGCCTTTTTGTCCTATTGATTGTGATTTTTGGAGGCAGGCAGAAAGTCATCAGAAGGTCCTCACTTAACAACCTGCAATCCTTGCTTGATGATGGCAAACAATACAGTCACAAAACAGATTGCATAGGGACAGAAATTCCAGTTCCAATTAACAGTTGTTAAGTGAGGAGTACTTTGCATTGAAACATTGCGAGGGCCTTGAGCATAATATAGTAACATAACATAGTAACATAATCCTGTACATGTATACTCATTATTTCTGGAAAATTTTCCTACAGAAAAATGTCTCAAAATTGTGACATCTGACTAACACAGCTCTATATAGGTTTACTCTATAAGTAAGTCATACTTATTTAGTGGCTATTAATCCCAGGATTCTACTCATAAGATTACAACTTAATGAGTTTGAACTGAGGTGTATGTTACATACAGATACATGAAATTTCTCCATCAGCATCATCTTCATCTTTATAATTCATCACATTTCTGGCCCACTCTATATCCCAGTCTCTTCCATTTAGAATGGTCACTCTCTATTATATGCCTCTATCTAGCACCTATTTATTCATCTTTGATCCTTTATGTCCTCTACTGGTATCTCATTATGGACATAAAGCTATTTTTTACATTTGTTCTTACAAGACACATTCCAGAACAGTATATTTATAGGATGCCTATTTATCATTTACTGTAAAAGGCCTAAGGTCTAAATAAGAACAGAATAATAATAAAGTAGAACTGTAATCAGTCTTAAGAAATAAATAGTTAAATACTGTAGAATCAAGCTGAATTATACTGTAGTGTCATGAAACGGCACATTTATCAGAAGGTAACAGATCAACACATTGATTATGAATTTTCTCTAAGCCTGTGGTCCCCAATGTTGCACCTGGAATACAGGTAGTCCTCCACTTACAACAGTTCATTTACTGACCGTTCAATGGAACAACGGCATTGAAAAAATGACTTAGGACCATTTTTCACACCTATGACCTTTTCCGCATCCTCATGTCACATGATTTACATTCAGATGCTTAACAACTGACTCACGTGTACAATGGTTGCCGTATCCCAGAGTCATGTGGTCTCCTTTTGTGACCTTCTGACAAGCAAAGTCAATGGGGAAACCAGATTCACGTAACGACCATGTTGCTAACTTAACAATGGCAGTGATTCACTTAACAAATGTCTCGAGAAAAATTGTAAAGTGGAGCAAATTCATTTAACAATTTTTTCTCGGAGTTGTGTGATCCCCTTTTGCGAATTTCTGACAAGTAAAGTCGATGGGGAAGCTTGATTAATTAACAACTGTGTTACTAATTGAAGAACTGCAGTGATTCACTTAACAAATATGGTGAGAAAAGTCATAAAAATGGGGCAAAACTCACTTAACAAATTTGTCATATTTAACAAATTTGTCATATTTGTCAATATAAAATTTTGGGCTCAGTTGTGGTTGTAAGTTGAGGACTATCTGTAATCGATCTCCAGTACTGATTAGTGAATGTGCTCATTTGTACAGTATTTCTGCAAATGTTAACTTTTCTACAATCCTTCTACTTCAGCACTATGATTACTAGTGCTTGTAAACTTCAAAAATAAAGGAAATCAATATTGGATTGGAAATGGATTGTTTTTCATCTTAAGGATGGAAAATCAAGGATATATTTACTATTATCTTAATTTTAAAACAAACATCGAATTACATTGGCACTATATATATGTTTATACTAATTGTAATAACAATACTACTAATGTAAAATCAATTTAGTTATAATAAAATTCTGTATCTTTTCAGCACTGGTGATTTTTGCCTTAGACAATTTATTAGTAAACGTGATGTGGCATATGTATTTTTCCCCAATATGGACACATGATGCTGTATTTCTTGAAGAGTATTGTGACAGAGAAAGGACCATTAATAAATGCCATTGATAATCACTATGCTGACTCATCATGGAAATTAATAACTATGTCCAAGAAACTAATACAAAAAGTAGCCACACTTTGGGAAATGTTACATTTTTACTTTTGGTAAAGTATTACCCTGAATATTCTAAAGTTGGAAGGTGTTTTCTACCTAAATTCTGGTACTAAAATTGTATTTAGCTTAAAATGTGAAGTTGAGAAGAACAGCATACAGTGCCTAGGTATTAACAGGAAGGGAAGAGGTGGCTAACAGACCCTATTCTTGGTAGACCACAAAGTTATTCCTTCCAATAAGTTTGTCTTTGAGCATATGGCTTTAATTATCAAAAAGTTATGCTTACCTTTTGCTTATGCTCTTCATAAGTAGCTTTGTCCCACTTCTGCTGAAGGTATTTACTGCCACATGGCAGAATTGGCTGGTAGGCACGATGCATCTTAAAACAACCTAAAGTATATCTAAATCTGGAGTCCTTAAAGGAGTGTGAGTCATCAGCTGGAACCTTCTTGAGCAAAGCTCTAACAACAGTGGTGTGTTTGCAGGTCATGTGAGAGTTGTCATGGCATCACTGTAGCAAAAATTGAATAGCTGGTAGTAGCTTTTTAAACACTAACTGGGGGAAGTGATAAATAAAGTGCTAAGAATTAAGTACAAAGATTCCAAACAATCTCTTAGATTATGTTGATCAGTGGAATGATTACTTTTCTGTTATCTTATTTAGCAGTCCAAAATTAAGGAAAAGGAGCAAAGCAGGTAATAATACATTTGATAACATTGTAGACAAATATGAATTTGCACAAATAAAGCTCTTAACTTCTTAGTAACAGATGACAATTATATGCATTTGTATCTGATTTCATGATAAAGACTAAGAAGTTAAGAGCTTTATTTGTGCAAATTAACTTAACTGTATAGCAACGTAAGTGAGAGCCAAGTTGATGTTGTAGTTAAGACAGTCTGGAAACTGTGGAACTGACTTCTAGTTCCACCTTAGGCACAAAGCCAGCTAGATGACCTTGGATCAGTTTCTTTTCCCTAGGAAGTAGGCAATGGCAAACCACTTATGAACCTTGCCAAGAAAACTGCAGGGACTTGTCTAGGCAGTCATCGAGAATCGGACACAATTGAACGGAAGAAAAACCAATTGCAATGTGAACTATGTATGTAATGGTATAGCTCTATAAAGGTATAGTTTATTTTCTAAAACAATTTATATAAGATTTCCTCATGTTCTGCATGAAAATGGTCTCAGTGTCAGGAACTATTGATGTTAGAACCAGAAACGTGTGTCTTTACTTTACATTTATCTTTAAATCACAGTACGTCTTATTTATATTAAGGTCCAGAGAGTTTGAAGCTGTTGAGTGTTGATCCAGACTTATTGCAAATAATTATGAAAACTAAGTACTCAGAAGAAACATTGGAAATACAACATATATGTATTTCTTCCCATAATAATATCTGGAAAACTACTCACCTAAGTGCATATCTTTGAAAAACAAATCTGTCAATATTGGGACAGGCAAGGATCTGATATTTTAAAAATATTGTATATTGAATACTCTTTTCCAAGAAGTTGTATATAATTTTTCTGTTACTCTTGCTTTATCTGCAGCAGCTCTTTGAGGTATTTTAGGCTAAGAGCACAAGACTTCACACTAGGACTTGTGGTAAATCATAACTTTCCATAGCCTTAACCATTTATTCAGTATCCAACTACTGAGAAGGTCCTTCGACATGATTCAGGTAGGTTAAAATATTTATTGCAGGTCAGAAAGAAGCCATAACAACAACACAATGGTTGTTCTGTGTAGAGCAAAGTTTTCAGAGTGTCTATATATCTTTGCTCTGAACATAAACTCATAGTTTTTTCCTCCCACTTTTCTGAATTAATCAATACTTGGAGGTTTCTTTGAGCATGAACAGTGTAGTATGTTTATTGAAAAGTTCTCTCTAGCCTGAGAATTAGTGATTTCCATTTTGTCAGCTCTGCAGAAACACAGAACGGGGTTCCCATTTTGTATTAAGTCATTATATAATTTACAGTAGCTATGTTGTACATATCAAACACAGGGGATGCTAGTGGCTCAGTGGCTAAAATGCTTAAGCTTGTCAATCAAAATGTCAGCAGTTCAGCGGCTCAAATCCCTAGTGCCGTGTAACGGGCTGAGCTCCCGTTACTTTTCCAGCTTCTTCCAATCTTTTATGTTCAAAAGCACATAAAAATGCAAATAGAAAAATAGGGACCACCTTTGGTGGGAAGGTAACAGCGTTCCATGTGTTTTTGGCGTTTAGTCATGCCAGCTATATGACCACGGATATGTCTTCGTATAGTGGTGGCTCTTCAGCTTTGAAACGGACATGAGCACCACCCCCTGGAGTCTAGCACATATGAGTGAGGGGAACCTGAACCTTTACCTTTACATAACAAGCCAATTTGGTTTAAAAACAGGATATGTTCTGTAGACCCCAATTTTGTTTTGAGATTTACTCATTAAACTATGAATAATATATAAAACCCAGCTAATAGAACTAGCATGGATTCACTGGTAAAACAGCAGAAGTCTAGGTTGTCATAGATATTATTTTTACTGTTAAGTAGATGTTATTTTTATTATTTCATGCCTAATTTGATACTCCAATCATTACCCTAATTATTAAATTCTAAGTTTCTAGATTGGGACCAGATTCCATTTCAGTTTTGCCTCTGGTCAATCATTTTCTTAACTTGCAAAGTTCTGCCTCCTCCTCCTTTTCTCCCCACACACTGGGGGGATATATCTATTTTGTTTTAGGTCTGGCCTGAAGCACAGGATGGCATTCCTGGCCATGTGTCTTCAGTTTATTTACTGCATCTGTCTGGCAGAATAAGAGTGCTTTGTAGGAAGAGATTAAATGCCCGTCAAGAATGCTAAGGCTGATGTTTTGTTTTTACTCCTTGCTCTTTCTCTCTTGTTTCTCAGAACATGAATGCTGAATTTGCTGTGATGAATAGCCAAGAAATATATACTGTGCATTACAGCATATTTAGAACAGCTTCTTACATTCAAGCTTTCCTATTCTAACTAATAACATTCCACAACTGAAAGACCAGATTCACAGTGTATATCTTCAAAAGGATAGTTATTACTCTCAACTATCTCTTCCCACCGCTCCTCATCTCCCCTCTTTGGATTCTTAGCACCTGTAATGTGCAGCCATTAGCTTCCCTGAACAAAGGAATGGGAATATAAGTGAGCAGCAGTTCAGGAGCCAGAGCTGGTTTCTGAGCCTGGTGGTATTCTCTTAACAGAGCTACCCTTTCATTCATGTTCAAGTTCTGATATGTAAAATAACTATTAATTTCTTGCATGTTTGCTCCATTTTTGTATTTACATGTAATGCAGAAATGCACATATTTATATGTTGCACCATCCCTATTTTTGCTAGAGAATGGATTTTTCATAAATTTACTGACTTTCAATTTCTCTCCTAATCTTTCAACTTGGGGTGGGGAAGAGGAACAAAAGATTCACGTTTTTGTCTTCACCTCCTCTGGGTAGCCTTCAGAAATCCCATGTTGGCAAGCTGTAAGCAGTATATGAACCATACTTTCTGACTTCTGATTGTAAATGTTTGTAATTGTAATTGTGTAAGAGGGGTTTTTTTTATGGGTGGGTTTGCACATTACCTCAGTCCATAATATGGTACCTCTGTTTGTGCTTTGCTTATATGATGAACCTGGCCAATCTTGATTTATTAAACAAATCATGGCTTAATATTAGCAATCACAGATCATTTTAAAGTCACAGGCTTGGAACCAGTGGTGGGATTCAATTTTTTTTTACTACCAGTTCTGTGGGCGTGGCTTGGTGGGCATGGCAGGGGAAGGATACTGTAAAATCTGCAGTCAGGGGTGCTATTTGCCAGTTCTCTGAACTACTCAAAATTTCCGCTACCGGTTCTCCATAACTGGTCAGAACCTGCTGAATACCACCTCTGCTTGGAACATAGCCATCAGGTATATGAAGCATGGGAACTGCTGAGTTTTCTTCATATTCATACTCCAAAAAGCAAAAGCAAAACCTCTAAAAAGTGGTCTTGATTTTATAGTATTTTATTTACACATTAGTTTCTTTACAATATTGAGCAAAGGCTTCAATGCTCTTTACAGGTGTATATGGAATTTCAAGACAATTACTTCACTGTTAGTATAAAACAAATTGTCAATGTGCTTTCTGACAACTGTATATGCTTATGTGAAAATCTAGATGGTCTGGGTATTATTGCCTTTATGAAGAAGCTAAATAGGAGCAGTGCACAGGTCAGTCTTGACTGACACCCTAATAGTTGGAAGGGTGCTTGATAAATGACCTTGAGGGCTGAGTAGGGCTTTCAGAAGTACCTCATGGGGGGGGGGGGGAATGAGAGTTTAATAAACACTGACTGATCAAAACAGTTTCCATTTTTTCACAGTTTGGCTCAAGAAATACAGGTCAGTGTAGACTTGACTTTATGCTGTAATATTATTCTTGTGTGATTAATTAAACATTGATGGTGCTACACTGGATGGGATCTGTTGTCTATTTTGGAGGAAATTTAAGGAGGGGAAGGTTCAATGCATTCGTTTTGCCACTTGAATAGGAAAAGTTGGTCTAAATTCAGAAGTTAATTTTTAAAATTGCTTCATTCACTCTAGGGATGTTTTTGGACTGCAGAGGGAGTCTCAAGTACTGTTGAGTTTATGGTTTTATAATATGTATGTTGCATCAGCAAATAAGAGTTAAGTGAACCACAGTTTAGCATATAATGTGAACACAGTCTAACAGGAAATACAGGAAAAGTTGTACACCTTTTTAGTTTGCTTTTCTGTATCATACACATTCACTTAGATCTCCTAAAATGGCATAAACAAGAATATTCCAAATAAAAACAGATTTGCAGTTTTCCAGCAGATGGAGGAAATGCATTGCTTCTGTAACAGAATGTCGATTGAAGTGATATGAGGATGTGGGAATCCTCTTGGAAACAATAGTGAGAGAAAACGATCATTGCCCAATTGCCCATGCTTTATTTCAATCTATATTGAAATAAAGTTGCATGCAATCTTACATTCTATGTTGGTTGGTTGTCTATGGAGATTCTCAGTCATCCAGGCCATGGTTGTCCTAAAGGTGCTTTTTCTCAAAAAGCAACTGGACTTTCTGGTTTTGCTTCTCATCTAAGAAGCTTCTTCAGCTCTGACTGGATTGTGGAGAATGGAAGGATTTCTACTCCTTACAGACAGCTGGTCATTTGCATTCTTTTTTTCCTGTCTTCAAAGAAAAACCAAAAAGTCCAATTGCCTCTTGCAAAAAGCACCTTTGGGACATGTTGGTGGTTTGGTTAAAAAGGTCTAATACCTGGAAATGTGGACTAGTTCAATCATGTGTGAACTGGTTTTTATTAGCTGTTGCC